TTTGGAGCTTCTATTCCTCTTTTATAAGTTTTCAATAAAAGGAAAATTTGTAGAAATATAAGCTTGCTTCGAACCAATGGAGCAGTACTGCTGCGGGGTCTCCCCTCTATTAAATTTGTTTTCCTCCTTTTCACTTACGAGGATTTCCTCTGGAGGCAAATCTAGAGTAGCTGCTTCTTTAAACAAAATGTGCAAACTCTCAGTAGGAATGATTGTTCTAAACTCCTTTCTGACTTGGATTGGAAGCTGAAAGCTGAGAAGTGTATTATAATTGATGCCACTTGTGGTAAATAGATTTCATTTTGCGCCCTTTCAAGTGCCTCTTACACCAGTCCTTTCAAAGGTGAACCGAAGGCTCTTTTACTTCCTTTCATGCTCTTTTCTTGCTGACAGATGAAACCTGTCAATTAGGATATAGGTAAGAGTAAAGTTTCAGCATATGTAATAGAAAAAGGAGTTGAATCAGAAGTCCTTCCAGCAGACTCTCCTTGGTCTGCTCTTTGGCAGTCTGCTGTCACAAAAGCTGCTATCGGAGTGGCTGTGCAGGAAACTTCTCCAGCCTTTTGATGTTGTCCTTCTACTTGCATTTCTCCCCAAAGAAGAGGAAAAGTGGAAACTGCCATCACATGGACCAGAGAAAAAAAATGGAGGCTGAGATGCTCGTGATACTTCCTAGGACCTTTTCTGTTCAAAGGAGGGAAACTACCAAAAAAACCTATCCTGGATTAATTGCTTAAAATGCAAGGTACTACTTTGAAGTGCTTCACTTCTCATTGCATCTGTATTGGTATGGAGGCGTGGGGGTAGCATAGATCCTCCAGAATCCCAGTGTTCTGTCCTCCCCCCTGCCCTTTCACTGAAGGGGAAGAGAGAACTGGGTGAACAATCAGACAGGTTGCCTGATAGCCTGCCAGACAGGACCAGAAGCCAGCAGCTAGACAGATGCACAGGGCACTGCAGATATCACATGCCCAGGCACTCAGGGACTACAGACTGTTCTGCTTCTCTCTCAAGGGGTGAGGGTGGAGTGGAGCTACAGGTCACTGCAGCCTACCTGTAGCACTCCCATACTGCTGTGGTGGTGATTTTAAAGTGTTCCAGGGAAGGGCATGACAACAAAGGATGTATACAAGTCTGGCAGCTGAAACACTACATTGTTGAAACATTTCCAAGGCTGTTATATTTAGAAACATTTCAAATGTTGCATCTGTCTGCATCCTAACACTTCAGAAAAGTTGAACTGTTGAATATTGAGAAAGAGAACCCTCACAGAAACTTTCTATAGATGTTCAGCTGTCAGAAGGCTTTCCAATATCTCCAACATAAGACCTTCCAAGGTACATACATCCTCAGCTTCACAAATTCATCCCACCTGTCAAGGGGAAACTTTTTACAGGCAATGCTATCCACCCTCTAAAGTCCCCAACAACAACATTTTGAATATGCAAATTAAAATACAGGACACATACTTGTTAATTAAGTAGCTAAGTCATCAGTTTATCCAGAAATTCTTTTGCAGAGATTAATCACCTAGTTTATCCAAGTCAGTAAAACTGGCTACAGACTCACATTTGTCAACTTACACAGGTAGAAAAACTAAAAGGAATGGGAAGCTTAGCCAGATTCACCCGTAAGCTGAGAGAGGGGTACAGAGATAATAGTACTGCAGTTTGTTCAAAGGAGGCTTTGGGATAAAAAAAAAAAAAAAAAAAAAAAAGGGAAGAACAGAATTGTCCCATTTCCATAGCTGTGGATAAGGAAAAGGAAAAGGAAAAGTGAAAACGGTTTCCTCCATTTCTTTAAAAAGTATTAAAAACAGCTTCAAATTTATCGAGACATTGGAATAAACTCCAGTACCTATTACCTCATAAGCCAGGATGAGTCAAGAAACTCCTGGAGAAGGGGGAGGGGGTGTATCCTAAGATAAAAAGCAATTTTTAAAATTGGAGGAAGATTTGGGTAGGGATGGGACCTGAAGATTTCAGGTTCCGGCAAATGACTGAAAAAATAAATCAGGCTTATGATAGAAAGCCACCTACAACATGGTTACAAATTTTTCCCGGGGGACACTGTAAATTCAGAAATAAAGCTGCTTCATAGTTTATTCACATACCAAATTATACAGCTACTGCCTTCTTAAAATACTTTATCTGCCTTTAAGAAAGAAACATTCTTTGAGTAGATTTTTTTTTTAAATTTGACTAAAGGTTACATTATTTTGGATAGATAACTCTCTACAACTGGTAACTTATCAGCTGTCTACTTGTACGCAAATAATTTGTAGCACCCAAACAAAGAAAAGCTGTTGCTGCTTTCAAGTTCCACTTAATAACAACTTCTATGTTAGAAATAATTAATCCTTTCAACAGTACAGTCTATGACAGAAAAACACTTCTTTTAGCTAACTTAATCATTTTGTCATAGTGAAAGTGTTTAAGGACTGTCTCATTTAGAAAATACTATTATATATTTGTACCAGGAGCACAGAAACAACAATCAAGTTATTCTACATTTACAAATGCCATATTCATTTTTTAAAAATATACACACATAGTATTAAGCTGGTCATAATGGACAATGAAAGATAATGCAACCTCTCAGCAGCTGGATTTTTTTTTTTTTTTTTAGAAAGAAGAATCTTTTCTAATTTTTTGGTATCAATGCTGGATTTAAGCATTTCATCTTAATGAAAGTAATATACTGAATACAGATCAGTGTTGCAAAATAACTAGCTAAAGTATATAGAAGATTATTTAATGTGATTTAACTGAAATTTAGATCTCTTCTTTTCTTAGAACTCTGGGCTTTTGCATTAGAGAAATATGCAAAGAAAGAACACCATGTATTGACCAAGAGGTCTACAACTGCTACAGCTTTTAACAACAACAACCTACCTCTGTATCAACAGCTTATCAGAACCACTGTTCATTTTTTTTGTTCAAACTCCAATTTAGACCTCTTCTTTAGGAGATAGCTTATGAGGTATTTAAAGTTTCTCCTATTGGCTCTTGAAAAGGTTAATACCTGAATGCAGGGAACTTGCACAATAGATAAAAAAATTTCTGGAAATTGTGCTTGACAGGAGAATCCAGGAAACATTAGAAAGAATAGTCTACTCAACAATACTAAGAGGCCTCAGAGTTGAACATTTTTCAAGGAACAATTCTCTTCTCAGAACAACATGTGCATGACAATTCTCTTGATTATATGGCAAGGTTTTGCCTTTGAACGCGTTAAGAGTTTGTAAATAAAACTATTAATCAAAGCACAGAAAACCTTCACGATTTTAGCAGTCCCTATCTCCCTGTTTGTTTTCTTTTGATTTTTTAAACTGTAGGCTGTATCAGAAGCTTATTATAGCAAACTCTGTTAGTCTGCAATAAGTCCCCCTGCATTCATGTGAATTAAAGTGGCAATAAAACTTTAATAGGGAATGTTGCATCTTAGCCCCTACCAAAACACTAAACATTGTTCCTCAATTGTTCTGATTGGGCCCACCATGCTTGAACACACTCATAGTTGCATAGAACTACCAATTTGCCAAAAAGCACCACTAAAAAACCAATATATTTTAAAACAAAACACAGGCGCATAAGAATCAAATGCGAATAAGAATCAAATGTCCAATTTTCGTTTGGAATGAGTTACATAGTGCATTTAATCTTACAGTATTAAGTAAAAGAAACGGTTTATATTGGAGTTCAGGAAAAGAAAGCCATAGCTGAGACAATATACAACAAAGGCAACAACAATAAATATAAGCCAACAAAAAAAAATTGGGTCCAGTGTCTCAAGAAGTCACTAAACATGTTTACACTAGTGAAAAAAAAATGGGGAAAGAGGAGCAGATAGCGTAATGCTGTCCTTCATAACTCACTCAAGTGCAATGCAGAATTAGTCCTGGAAGTCAGGGATAAAATTACATCACTGTAGGCATTTTATGTCCACATCTTACCTCATGGCAGCTGTTTACCAAGCTAAACAAGCTTGCCACCACGCAGTGCAGGTAACAGCACCTACTCCATGCAGCTACCCAGAAGAGCCAGTCCCCTGACCATCCCCCTATGATCTGAACAGGTTTTGTAAACAGATGTACTGTATTTACCCAAATCCAAGATGACTTCCAATTTAAGACACACCCCAAGCCTCCCAATAATTAGATAATAAACATAGAGAAATTATAAATTAGTTATAAATTTACATGTACAGAATCTAATTTTAAGAGAGTCGTCCTAAAATTTGCCCTCCCCCCACCACGGCAGTGGAGCAAGCAATGGCAGGGCAGCATGTGGCCGGAGGGTGCAGGGGGAAGCCGGGGACCAGTGGCAGGGAGGCAACCGCCCTGGGCTCCACATTTTGGGGGGCCCTGCACAGCTGGATGGAGCGGCCGCGACAACTCTGCATCGCCACTGCTGGTTTCGCATCCAGCCGCTTGCTCCCCTCTCCCCCGCCACCACCAATAGTGGTGGTGGCTTCTTTGCATCCATGGTGCATGGGATTGGGGCAGGGGCAGGGCGCCGGCCCTGCACAACCTGATTTGCCCGGGGCCCTGCACCTTGCTCAGGTCTGCTCTGCTGGTAGTTATGCCTGTACCTAATGTCTTAATCTTACAAATTATGTACGTGGGACACAGATCAATGTTTCTACTTATCGGATTAAAATCAAAACCTCATACACCTCTTTACATATCCATTGTTATCAGTAAATCTGAGCATGTACTTAAGTTTTTTTGTAGAGTAGGATTTCATTCTACCATATTATTTTTTCTGTACCAAATTTCAAAGAGATAAATCAACCACTTGGCAAGGTATAAAAATCAATATCCCATGTATTCTAAAATTACATTTTTTCATAAAGCAAATTTGATACACACTTAGGTTAGTGATCTAAATCTTAAAACAAATAGTTGTTTTCTGATAATGATAATTTAATCTGTAAATCTATACATTCATAGTATCTTGCCTTTTAGTTCATTCAAAGTAATAACCAGAATAACTTACCATTCTTGCTGACATCCAGTTCCCTGAGATTAATGAGATTTGCAATGGATGCTGGCAAAGTGGTTAGATCATTGTCTGGCAAACTCAGCTTGTGCAGACACTGACAGTTAAAAAGTTGCTATTGAAACAAACAAAAAAAAAGAAATAAGTGAATGTGACCTTTTAGGAGTTAGTTTATAAGAGCATATATTGTATTATAGTATACTATATTATATAGGTGTGCGACTTTTGTTTTTATTCATTTTCTGAAAAGCCAATGAGAAAGACAGGATACCAACAAATTTTGACTACAACTTAGTATATTAAACCAATTGTTTATTTAACTTCAATTAAATTTAGCCTGTTCATCAACATGGGTTCATTAGAGGCAGGTCCTGTCAGACCAACCTGGTGGCCTTTTATGACCAGGTCACAAAAGCTTGGACGCAGGTGTCATAGTGGACATAGTTTTCCTGGACTTTAGGAAAGCCTTCAACACCGTCTCTCACCCGATCCTCATTAAAAAATTAGGCTTCTGCGGTGTCGACGCCTACACAGTCAGATGGGTTGCAAATTGGATGGAGGGCTGCACCCAGAGAATGATAGTGGATGTGTCATTTTCGACCTGGAGGGATGTGGGCAGTGGGGTCCCCCAGGGCCTGGTCCTCGGACCCACACTGTTCAACATCTTCATCAATGACTTGGACAAGGGGATGAAAAGCACCTTGTTAAAATTCGCGGATGACACTAAGATGTGGGGAGAAGTGAGCAAGCTGGAGGAGAGGAACAGGCAACAACTAGATCTCTACAGGTTACAGAGATGGGCGGATGCAAATAGGATGGCTTTCAATACGGACAAGTGCAAGGCGTGCACCTGGGGAGGAAGAACCAGCTGCATACATACAGGCTGGGGAACTCCCTACTCGTCAGCACAGAGGCAGAGAAGGATCTTGGAATCACTACTGATTCCAAGATGAACATGGGCCGCCAATGTGGGGATGCAGTCAGGAAGGCTAACCGCGCTTTGTCATGCATCCATAGATGCATCATGAGCAGGGGCAACGAGGTGATCCTTCCCCTTTATGTGACATTGGTCAGGCTGCAGTTGGAGTTCTACGTCCAGTTCTGGGCACCGCATTTCAGGAGGAATGTGGACAGCATCAAGAGGGTCCAGAGGAAGGCCACTCGCACGATTAGGGGGCATCAGGGCAGGCCCTATAAGGAGAGGCTACAGGACCTGAACCTGTTCAGCCTCCACAGGAGAAGGATGTGAGGGGATCTGGTGGCCATCTATAAACTGGCCAAGGAGGACCAGCAGGCAATGGGAGAGTCCATGTTCCCCCAAGGACTACCGGGGTAACAAGGAACAAGGGCCATAAGTTGACTGAGTAGATTCAGGCTAGATATCAGGCGCCACTACTTCACTGTCAGGGCGGCTAGGAGCTGGAACCAGCTTCCAAGGGAAGTGGTGCTCTCCCCTACCCTGCGGGTCTTCAAAAGGAGGTCAGACAGCCACCTAGCCGGGGTCATTTGACCCCAGCATCCTTTTCTGCCCATGGCGGGGGGGTTGGACTAAATGATCTGCTTAGGTCCCTTCCAACCCTACCAACTATGAAACTATAAAGTTTAATTTACAAGGATAAGCTGTTATACTGATTGTACCGTTATTGGTTATTATATTGTACAATATTATATGCTAGTGCCCCCACTACGGAAAGAATGTAAACAAATTGGAGAGTCCAGCAGAGGGCAACAGAAATGGTTTGGGGGCTGAGGCACATGACTACTGAGGAAAAGCTGAGGGAATTGGACTCATTTAGTCTGGAGAAGAGGAGACTGGGAGGGGATTTAATAGCAGCTTTCAACTACCTGAAGGGCGGTTCCAAAGTGGATGGAGCTAGACCAGGGGCAGGCAAAATACTGCCTGTGGGCCTGATTCAGCTCACCTGTCAATTTCATCTGGCCCGTGGGCACCCATCAACTAACTGTACACCACCCAGGCCATGCACCTAGCTCCCACCCTTGTTCTACCTTCTTGTTGGTAGAAGGACCCAGCCCAGCCAGCGCACAGCTTCTGGGCAGGGTTGATGCTGCCACTGCTGCAGCCACTAAGGGACCTGCTCAGCTTCCATGGCATCCAGCCTTCTCCAGGTACCAGGTAGGGAAGCGACAGGGGCAGGGGAGAGGGACCTGCAGCTGGGTGGCGGCACAAAGCATCAAGCTGGGGCTGGCGACAGCATGGAGCCCATGTCCAGGGGACAGCAGGAGCTCGGCTGGGCAGGGTGTGGCTGTGAGGGAGTGTGGGGGGTGCGGGACCCCCCCCATTCCCAAATCCCCCCCACCCAGCACACAGCCCCCATCAGCAATGGCAGAAGCAGCAGCACACGGCAGGTGTTCACGGCCCATGCAGGCACACTCACCCAGTGGTGCACAGCTGCAGCCAGCGCTGCACGTAGTGGCAAGAAGCACAACCTGGCCAGCCCACCTCTTATCACACAGAGCTCCCTGCAGTTCATGTGCAGCTCCCAGCACTTGCATGCCAGTGGAGGAAACCCCACACAATGGAGCCAGCTACCTTCCTCCACTTCCTGGAGTGCAGGTCTCGGGACTCTGCCAGAAATGGTGGGGAGACCCGTCCCTGCCCTCTGCTTCCTGGTGTAGTCCCAGGACCTGCATGGCAGGGAGCAGAGAAGGCACCTGGCTTCATCATGTGGGGCTTCCCCCACTGGTGTGCAAGTGCCAGGAGCTGCACATGTACTGCAGGGAGCCCCGCATCATAGAGGCAGGCTGGCCTAGCTGCACCCCTTGTCACCCAGTGCAGTGCTATTTGGGGCCATGCATTGCTGGGCGGCAGCACCTGCATGGGCCACAAGTGCCCCAAACACCTGCTGTCTGCTGGCTGGTGCTGCTCCTGCCACCGCTGGCAGGGGCTATGCACCATAGGGAGGGAGTAGGTGGGGGGGGTCCTCACTCCCCCCACACACATCACACCCCCCAAAACACTGCTCCCACAAGCCCCCACATATACACACACTCCCAACATACCCTATTGCCCCTGCACACACAGTCACACCCCCTCACAAACCTCACCATACACACATCCCCCAACCACACCATGCAAGAATAAGACACTTTTTAGATATTATACAATTACCTTTATATACAGTATGCAAACACAAAGCATGACAAAAATATTTTTTGTAATAAAATGAAAATAAGTTATAGCACATGTTTGTCTTTTAGCATAATTTTTTTTTTTTTTCTGGTTCCAAGATGGCAACCCTCCCCTCCCAAAAGGAGTACTTTCAGGGGGCAAAGGGAGAGGAGTCTGGTAGCAAAGGTCAGGGGTTAGGGGACAGGACTTCCAATTCCAAAATGGCAACCAGGGTGCAGGGCTACCCTTGAGGCCCTCAACAGCTCACCATAACTCTGTAAGCAGTCCTCCAGCTGAAATAATCGCCCACCCTCAAGCTGGACTATTCTCAGTGGTAGCAGGTAAAAGAAAAAGGAGCAATGTTCTCAAGTTGCAGCAAGGGAAGTTTAGGTTAGATATTAAGACATACTCTCTCACCAGGAGGACAGTAAAGCACTGGAACAGGTTACCCAAAGAGGTTATGGAATCTCTATCCTTGGGGATTTTGAAGACTGAGCCAGATGAAGCTTTAGCTGGGATGATCTAGTTGGGGATGGTCCTGCTTTGAGCAAGGGGTTGGACTAGACCTCCTGAGCAGTGGCAATGCATAGGGGGTGCATGTGCACCCCCTGAGAGCGCCGGTGCACCCCCTGACAGCCGTGCTCACTGCTTAGGTGATAGGCGGAGGGGGCAGGTGGGAACACCAGTGCCCCCCCTGCAAGCAATGGCCGATCGCTGCAGCCACTTTCATGAGTGGCTGGGGCTGCTTCTAGGAGTGGCTGCAGCGATTGGCCAGTGCTTGCTCCCAGAAGCAGCTGCAGCAAGCACAGCAATCTGCCGACACAGGATCACCCGGGGGATACCCACCCCAGTCCCCAGGATCAGCCGCAGAGGGACTCCACTGGTCAGCAGGACTGGTTACAGGGAGGGCACGTCCCTCCCCCCTGACTAAGGCGGCATCAGTTGCCCATGCTCCTGAGGCAAATTCAACCCCAATTTTCTGTGATGATTCTATGACTGTACTATTGGTGAAGTACTAATACTCTATGAACATCAATGAAAGAAAGAAAACCCTTTCTCTAAATATGGGTTGGAAGAGGGCCAACCAAATGTAAAACCACCACCACACACAGACAAGGGGCAAGCAAAGCATAAGATAATACCGATATAATTTGCCCTACCAACTTATATAACAACCATTGGTCCTAGCACTTCAGCTGTCACAACGCTGTTAGCTATGATAGTCTAAACAGTCCATCTTTACCCTTGCCTTGTACCTAACCTCTGACTGAATCAGAGATGCATAAGCTTTCATGAGCAAAAGATGACTTCATGAGATGCTACCATCCCTGATTCAGTTAGTCTATAAGGTACATCTATACCTGCTTTGTTCCCAATACTGTGAAAGTGTTGTAAGTATCACCACAAGGAGAATTTTAAAGAGGAATCTGAAGGACAAAGTGAAAGCACAGGTGTTTAGAGTGATCTATTCCCACATACAGAGTTGTACAGTCATAGAGAAGTAGCGCTGGAAAGGACCTCCAGAAGTCATCTAGTCCAACCCCCTCCTGATGCAAGATCATTCCTATCCAAATCATCCTATACAAACCATAATCTAAACTTTACATTAGACTTCCCTCAACCCTGACACAACATTAACCTAATACCCTAACCTGCCACAGGTAAAGCAGGGGAACCACAGCTGTCAACATCCTGCTCCCATAAAATATTGTCAATATAGGCCCAAGAGGTCTGGGCAGAATCCCCCCCCCCTCCCCCCCGAGGAAGGCAAAAAACCCCATAGTCCATACCAATCTGACTATGGGGTAAAATTCCTTCCTGACCCCAAATATGGCGATCGGTTGGACCCCGAGTAGAGCCAGGAGCCTCCAGCTTTGCTCTTAGTAAAAGAATCAGCACACACCACCGCTGAAGTTCCCAGCCTTAGCTGTAGCCAACACCCAATGCCGCTGAAGAGGCTTAAACACCCTGACACAACACAAGAA